AATTAAATACAACAATATACATCAATGTTCATTGATATGTGCATGATCATAAGAATAAGAATCATATCACGATTCTCTCTAACTCGCTCCCCCTCAAATTGATGGTAATAGAGTCACTCCAAGTTTGTCCTTTAGGAAGTTGAGTGATTTATGTTGCTTCAAGAGAAATTATATACAAAATTTTGTGGGATTGATCCTCAAAGTCACAAAAAGATATCCAATAGATTCAATAGCCAAGTAAACTATTGTTACTAGCTAAGTAAATATGGTACAACTTAATCATGAAGAGTACCACTATAACATTCTATATATAGTCTTCTAGTACTTAATTTAAATATTCAACAAATTTTAAATAATTATTTTATCACAAAATACACTGAAATTTAAGAAAGAAGTGAAGGGAGAAAACTATAATGAAAAGATGAAATTTCCTTTATTTGAAACATTAACAAAATGACAAAGAAAGAAATTTGTGTTGGCCTCACAAGGAATATGCTTTTGGCTGAAAAGACAAAATTGACCCTAATATACGAATATTATTCATAAAACATAACTAATATTTTGACACACGTTTATATATTTTTGTTACGAATAAAATAATGCATTCAAATACTCAATTATATACATAGCCAACCATTTACATAACTCCATTTTGAGTACAAATTCTCTCAATTTTCTTAAAAGAAATTACTAAAGTTTTCATAATATAAAAGTTAAATAATACAAATATATATTACACTTATCAAAATAAATATATATATATATATATATATATATATATATATATATATATATATATATATATATATATATATATATATATATATATATATATATATATATATATATATATATATATATATATATTAAAATTTTAATGATAAAACTTTTCATTTTTTTTTAAATAGAGAGGATCTCAACTCTTCCATTTTATACTATGTTTATTTTGTTAAAGAAAATTTATGTAAATTACATTTTAGAGTTTTTTAGAATGAGAGCTAATTTTTATAGGGTGTAGTTTATATAAGTATTTTTAGTAAGCATGAATATCATAGTCATGTTTTCTTTAATATAAGACAACTTTTTAAAAATTAAACTAACATTCCATCGATTTATTTTATTATATTTATAATAATACAATTAATTTTATAAATCATAATAAGTAAGATAAAAACATTTTTAAATAATAATTTATCTAATAAAAAATATGATAAACATAATATAATTTTTTTAGTCGAAGTTCATTTAATTAAACATGAATCAGTAAAATATCGAGGATTCAAACTCGTGTTTTTGCACTTAACGTCCTTATATATTTATCAATTGGATTCTCTTAACAGAATTATTTGTTTTTTTTTTTTTTGTAGAATAATTTAATTTATTTTCTGATATGTAATTAATTAATAAAACATATTTATATGTATATAGTGAGAATATATTATATATTTTTATTTAATTATATTCAGATTTTAAAAATATGGATACTATTGTCATTTAATAAAAGTATGTTTTTCCATTTTATTTCTATCAAACAATTAAAATATTATCTCATTTTCTTATTATTATTTTTCCGTTTTCCTTTCAATTTCTTTTGTTATCCAAACAAACAAAAACCTTAAAGTTAAGGATTGTGATTAAACGAAACGACATAGTATAAGGCTTTCTGTCTTTGACGTGAAACTCAAAGCTTGGGAAGTGAAACAGACACAAACAGCATCATCTTTTCTCTGTTCCTCAGATTGCATGGTAACAATTTCTCAATTTCCACTTTTTCAGCTACTTATTGAGACACCCTTTTAAATTTAAGTTATGAAAGTAGAGTTTTTTATTTGAGTTATTGTTTCTTTTTGTATTCATGCTTTCTAGATCTTTCATTCTCATGTAACAAGCATTTTTTTGAATTTTTTTTCTCATGATTTATAGATCCTTGAAGATTTTTATGTATGGTTTGTTTTATTTGAGTAATAGTGTTTTAAGATTGTTATTTAGTAAGAGATAGATCTGTTAATTCTTGTGTTTGGAAATGTTCTGGTATGATATGTTATGTATATACCCTGCTGCTGGAACTTATGCCTGTTCTTGTGCTGTCAATCTGAGAATTCGGAAAATTGCGGTTTGTTCCACGAAGCTATAACACTATAACGCCCCAATCTCACTGATACCTCTGAACAAAGATGTGTCTTGTCTCTCACACGTGACACATGTGATAACGTTCAATTTATTATTTATTTTTTTCAAATTATTACTTGTGTCGATGTATTAATCTCGGTGTTGTGTCTGGTATCTGTGTTTGTGTTAGTATTTCATAGACCCGAATAGCCTCTATTTAGAAACACTTTGTACTAAATAGCGTATCACAGGACAATAGCGTTTATTTCAAATTCTGATATTCAAACGCCGAACTGTTTCAATTTTCTTTGCAGTTATCAAACCTTTGCAAACTCGGCTGAGATATATTCAAACGCCGAACTGTTTCAATTTTCTTTGCAGTTATCAAACCTTTGCAAACTCGGCTGAGATGAGACTACTAGCCGAAAATCAACATCATCTTTGGGCTCAACGATTTGAATGCTGCTGCTATTTCTGCACCTCCTTCCTTTTCAATTGAAAGCCGGCTTCTCAGAGAGATTTGAAACATAAACGTAGAATTGAAATAGAGTTAAATTGCCATGTCAAGAACATCGAGCAGCAAACCTGTTGGTTTTACCGCTACTAAAGATATATTTGTTTCAGCTATTCGCTTTGCTGTGTCTATTGAGGAACCATGTTTTCCATTTGGTGACAAGCTAAGAATCTCTGCTCAAGAGCAAGTTGACTACATGCTAGGAGAAGACGAAGATATTACAAACATTATGGCTGACGATGAAGTAAAATCTGTAGTAAGAATCGGTGTTTACAATATCATTCACTCGTTCGAGGCAGACTTGACGTTGTTGCTGTTGAATCCTACCCTTGAGTTTGAAACTGGGGTGGATAGCACGATAATGAGAAGAGTAATGGATCTTGAATGGATGTGTAATGTACTTCCAAAGATGGATTTGATGAAATCTTTTGTTTCTAATTGGATCGCAATTTCTAGTAAAATTCTGGTGATCATCGAAGACGAAAAGTTTGATAATATCATGTGGGGTTTGAAAGTAAAGGTGATTGAACTAACATGTAAGGTTTTGGAAGCAGTTAGTTATGGAAGTGTGATTGTTCCAGCTCCGAGCCGGGTTCAGTTGCTAAAAACGTGGTTTCCGTACGTTCAAAAAATGAAGCCGTTGCTTGATTCAAAAGCTGTTGCAAAAACTGATTTTCGTTACGTAATGGATGAGGATCTGTGTCAGGCTATTGAGGGAGCGATTGTGTCGTTGGTATTGACGTTGCCTTCGAACGATCAAGCAGATATTTTGGCCGATTGGATTGGAAGTAGGGAAGTTGGATATCCTGACTTGAGTGAAGCTTTTGAGGTTTGGTCTTATAGAAGCAAGTCTGCTAAGAGGAGATTAGTGGAAGGTTTACATGGAAATAGTGATGCAGCTATCAGCAGCTGAGTTTGTCTCTTAACTCCTAAAACTTGTCATTTTTTATAAAAACTGGAGAGTTTTACCGCTCTTACGGTCTATTTAACCTGGCAGATTTCTCACAGTTGTGTGTAGAGGGTTCTTAGTTTATACTCAACTTTTTGTTGGGTCTAGTAGGCTAGTGGCTGTAATTTTACCTCTTAAAGGAAGTGGGATGCCGCAAATTCTAACCTATGCCACTCCAGTTGGATGTTTGTTTCTGTGCGACTATCAATTGAGTTGAAATGAAAAATGTCATTTTGAATGTATTTAGTTGTTTTTAGTATTGTAGGATAGAGGGTGTATTTGGATTGGTGGTAGACAGAATTGATTCTAGCAGAATTGAGTTTGGTAGAATTGATTCTAACAAAATTGGATTTGGTAGAATTGATTTATATTTGAATATATTTATGTAAAAGTGAGTTGAACAATAAATTTTAGTGTAAAAATCATCTAGAATCAATTCTGAAGGCAGAAACTACAAATTCATATTTATATGATGATTTTTAATGTGAAAATTTCAACACCACTCATAAATGGCTATAAAAATCCAGGTAAATTTCAGAATTAAAATTTGAAGTATAAATGACCGTGTTTCGACCAAATGAATTGCACACCTGTACACACATACATTGTTAATTACACTCTTTATTCTACTTTCATGTTTTTTACTGCATTTACAATAAAAAAATTTAGCCAAACATATGGACATGTCACGTAGAACATTAGTTTGAGTTAATTTGTGTCTTATAATTCAAAAACATTAATATGGCTAATCCTTCAAGTTGAAGAAACATGAACCAAAATACAAACATCTATAATTATTGGAGGTACTCAGATAACTAATAAATATTTCCAAGTATTAAAGATGACTTGTCTAGAACTCAACTTCAAAGGGCTCAAACACACTCGAACAAGGTCTACCGAAACTATGAGTAATAGTAAGCTCGTGGATGTCATCATCAAACAAAAAGGTAACATAATAACTTACTCAAGTCTTGCAAAATATATTGGAGATGCAATTAAGGTTGAAAATTCGAAGTTAGTTAATATATTATGATGATAACAAGGAAGTTTCTGATAACCCTAAAGTTGGCTTTGCTGTTGATATACAAGAAATATGTGAAGGTAATGTGATTTCAATGCTACCAGTGGAGTATGCTTATATGGTGTTCGGGATCGTATAACTAGAAGAACACTTCCAAAGTTTACACTCGGAGAAAATCCCGTGTATGAAAGCATATGTACCTAGGAGAATTACTACAAGATTCTGGCTTATTAGCCATAAAACCTACAGCCACTCCATATGATTCTGAAGGCGGAATATGAGCATATGTAACAAACTCAAAACCGGAGACCATGTTTTAGAGGAAAAAATGATTAGGGGATAATAAAAGTTTATACATTTCCATTGATGATGAAATTTGGATGTCCTCTCAAGTAGCAAAATTGCATTCAGGCCCAAAGTAGTGTGATGACCAAAAATACAACGAGGGCCAATCCAAAACAGAATCCAACTATTGCCGCGAAAGCCTGAATATTGTCACATTAAGTAATTCAGAAGAAAAAAAGTAAAATAATCAACCCGAAAAAAAAAAAAGCTATTGTAAGTTACCTTCCCTTGTGATTGAAATTTAAACTTATTAGTAAACCAGGTTAATCCTCTGTCAACAAAAGGTGCTAGTGCCAATGCTCTGCATAAAAAGTAACTCCATTCTATCAATTGGTTGTCATTGTACTAACCTCAAAAATCGATGCATAATAGTTCAAAATTTTGGGCTTAGATCACAATGCGCATTGGACAGTTAACAATGTAAACGGGTCCAGGCAGGCTCACCCGGCGGCTCTTAGAAGCTTAGTGACTTGACTACCGGCCCAAACCATCGCCAACAGTTTGAGAAATCTACATCACCGTGAAGTTTTTTAATATATCATATCAACAAGTCATAAGTGATAAAACTAAAAGGACTATGTTCTTACCTTTCTACAGCTGGACGATAACCCATCTTTCCCGGTGCCGGAGCAATATAAAACCTAACAAACACGGTGTTGTTAAATAACAGCACTATAGCATTATAGCGGCGTTTGAGCATATTGCTATTATTCTGCGATACATTGTTAAATACAATTCCTTTACAAACTTGCACTACAAGAAATGTTCACATACCACACAAAAAGAAATGTTGTCAGATAGTATGCCGTGTTTAAAAGTCCATAGGATAGGATTCCAGAAACTCCATATCTCTTCAGTTTCTTCATGATCCTGGCATATTAAACAAATAATAGAAATGCATAAATATACAAACATCATCATCATCAAATAAAACAATTATTTTAGTCTTTAGAAAACAATGGAAATATAATATAGGGCAAGTTGTGCATACTCATTGATTGATAGTGACTTTCCTTTCTTACTCTCTTTGCTTTCTTCTGAACCTAAAGATATGTTGCAATTGTCAAGCATGATACTTAAAACTTCGATGCAAGAGCTAGACAACACCAAGGATCAACACAAACATCTATAAATCAATATAACGAACTTCATGATTATTACTTCACTTTCTATGCACATTTAACTAAAACAAAACTTTAATCACATACCTTCATGGCTGCTTGAATCTGATAGCTCGTACGTCTGACCTTACACCAAAGAGAAATAAAACAATAATTCAATCAGTAAAAATATGAGCATACAAGGGAAAGAAGATAAACAGAGATGAAAGAATTAGACGACAGAACGCCATAATTCCCTATCAGGCTATCACACATTACGCTGAACTATGTACTGTTTACTGCTAAACCTCTCTTAATAATTAGAAATAAGCTATTTAACTTGTTCACTAAACAATTCTCTGTTTATCAGTATATATTGTCATTACAGTTCTACTAGTCATCCACATGTCTACTTCAACATTAAAATAAGTCAATAGTTAGAAACATAAATAAGCTATTTAACTTTCATAATAACTCTGCATAATACAGAGAAAACTTTCCATGTTTTTCTAATTCCACAACCAGTTTCCAAAGTATGAACTTGTTTGGTTTGGTTTATTTGAGCTTGACATAAGCATTTGTGAGACTATTTGGAAAAGCTTATAGAAATAGCTTATAACATGTCAATGAGTTGTTTTCAGCTTATTTCCTTAGGCAAATAAGTTCTCTAGATAGCTTATGAATACAACTTACAGCTTATATAAAAACAATTTGACTTTATTTATTTTTGTTGCAGAAATAACTTATACATAAGCACTTATATGATAATCCTTATTCTATAAAAAGTTGTTTACCCAAACAAGACCTAAACCTGAGAAACTTGAGCCTGAAAGTGCCAAAGCAAACTTCTCTAACATGTAAAACCTTTGTGCTGTTGGCCCAACAGTGTTGGGAACTTCAAGCAAAATTAATATGAACTTAGGTGTTTGGATAACCAGCTTATTTGGAGCTTATATAACAAGTGCTTATCAAAATAAACACCGATGAATAAGTTTGCATAACCTATTTTTCTAAATAAAAATATAAAATAAACTTCAATAATTTTTATAAATGCTATAAATTGTTTTCATAAATTATTTTGGAAGAACTTATAAAAATAAGCTCAAAAAATTTATGAATAATGCTATAAACTATTTTAGTAAGCTCTTACAAACAGTGTCACAAAATTTATGTTATAAGATAAGGTCAAATAAGTCAATCCAAACATTCCAGTTCCAGCTTAGGATGTTCTCAATTGGGGCATTTTTACCTTCACATTATACTATTAAGCGCTTAATTCAAACTAGCTTAAAAATTAAGTCACATAATGTTGGTACAACATTAACAACTGGACCACAACTCCATATAAAATAGTTAAAGAACTTAGATAATAATTAAACCTATAATCTAAAGTGATCACAAACACTATAAAACAAAAGGGCTAAAAATATGTAACCCTAAAAACAAAAATTAACAGAGATAGCTCAAGAAAAAAATAATTTTTATCATTGCTTACTTACATTGCCATTGGTGTTAGTTGAGCAAAGCCTTGTATTGAAGGTGAGACACAAATGGGTATTATTGTTAAGCTCAGAAAAGTGATTGTGGATGAAAAAGGTACCGCATTTTCTTTGGGAGAAGCAATTGAAGCGTTGTAACAGAAACTTGAGACATACCCAAATTGCAAAAAATGGAAAACGGGTAAATTTGTGATGGAATGAGAGAAAAGAGTGAGAATTGAAGAAGAAAAGGATGAGTGGGAATGAATACCTGATGATGAGAGAGGGGTGTGGAATTGAAGTGGGGTGCAATTTTAGCACAAAGAGACATTGATGAGAAGATGGATACACAGATTTCATAAACCTAATTTTCTTTTTAATATTTTTTTATATGATCATAAATATGTGTTTTTATTATTTTTATTTTTACTGTTAACATTTTTTATTATTAAAAACCAAAATTTAATTTTTTTTTATTTTATAAAGTCAATCAAAATCAAACAAAAGATAAGAGAGAATAAAGTACTTTCAAAAGAAAAACTAAATCTAGTTATAAATCTAAAGAGTTTAAAATTAAAGAATAAGATTGTTTGTATGTGTTTTGATGATGACTTTGTTGGGATGATTAAGAAATTTATTTTTATTCCATAATAATGTAATTTAATATTTTATTTATGGAATAATATTATAAATTTAATGGTCTTATTATGTTGATATAACTTTTTTAGAATATCTAGATACTCAAATGTATTATTTTGATTTATTTAAGAATGGATTAAATTTTAAATTATTATTTTTAATAAATAAGTTAAATAAATACATTAACAACAAAAATTAAGTACAAAGAAAATTGTAAGATAATTTAGGCCGTCCTTTTCATTCATGTGATAGTCATTTATATACACAGTACAAATATGTGGTTATGATTCTAATAATCATTGGTAATTAATATTAATAATAATCTTTCTATATTTACATATCTAATACACCCTCGTAGTCGAAACTGGAGGTGAACGAATGTTGAGACTATCACGAAAGTCATCAAAGAGTTGCAACGGAAGTCCCTTTGTGAAGATGTCAGCAATCTGAAAACGCGAGGGAATGTGAAGAACGCGTACTTGACCGCAAGCAACTTTCTCACGCACGAAATGTATATCCATTTCAATATGTTTGGTGCGTTGATGTTGAACAGGATTGTCGGAAAGATAAACCGCGCTGATGTTGTCACAATATACCAGAGTAGCTTTTGTGACAGGACAACATAGTTCCAAGAGTAAGTTGCGTAACCAACATGATTCAGACACAACATTAGCTACGCCTCTATATTCGGCTTCGGCACTTGAACGAGACAAGGTATGTTGGCGTTTTGTGGACCATGAGATCAAGTTGTCACCGAGATAAACACAGTAGCCGGAGATAGATCTTCTTGTGTCAGGACAACCGGCCCAATCTGCGTCTGTGTAAGAAATGAGCTTGTCGACAGATGAAGGGTACAGATGAAGGCTGAGATCTACGGTACCATTAATGTAACGAATAATGCGTTTCAAGGCAGACATGTGTTGAGTTTTTGGATCATGCATAAATAAATATACCTGCTGAACTGCATATGAGATGTCTGGTCGAGTGAATGTTAAGTATTGCAATGCTCCAGCAAGGCTACGATATTCGGTTGGATCATGGTAAGGGTTACCGGATGAGCCACTGAGTTTCGCCTTTGTGTCTACTGGTGTGGGGGATGGTTTGCAGGAGGACATACCAGCTCGTTCGATAATTTCTTCTGCATATTTCTTTTGAGAAAGAAAAAGGCCTTCGGGATGTTTGGTGACAGAAATACCCAGAAAATAACTTAAAGGCCCCAGATCCTTCATGGAGAATTCAGAACTCAATTGTGCCATGATAGATTCTCTAAGAGTGTCAGATGATGCAGTAAGAATAATGTCATCCACATACAAAAGAATATAAGCTATATCATTGCCATGATGATATATAAAAAGAGAGTGGTCAGAAATACTGTGAGAGAAGCCCATTGTAGCTACATAATCAGTAAAGCGCTGGTACCAGGCGCGAGGTGCTTGTTTGAGACCATATAGAGATTTCTTCAGTAAACAGACATGACCAGGAAATTGAGAATGACGAAATCCAGGAGGTTGATGCATGTATACGGTTTCATGAAGGTTCCCATGCAAGAAAGCATTTTTAACATCTAATTGATGAAGACACCATGATTTAGATAAAGCAACACTTAGAACCGTTCGAATGGTAGCCGGTTTGACCACCAGGATGAATGTGTCACCACAATCAATACCTGTTTGTTGATTTGCACCATTACCTACAAGGCGAGCTTTGTATCTCTCAAAAGATCCGTCAGATTTCTTTTTATGCCTGAAAATCTACAAACTTCGAATAACATTAGCATTAGACGGACGAGGAACTAAGTCCCACGTCTTATTTTCAATAAGAGCATCATATTCGTCTTTCATGGCCATTTTCCAATTTTTATCATTTAATGCATCAATGGGATTTGTAGGTAGAGGGGATATGGAGGTTGGGGTTGATGTATGGAGATTGAAGAGTTTGCGAGGTTTGATGATACCGTGTTGGGCTCTGGTTGTCATTTGAGGGGAGAGGGGCTGATTTTGTTGTGAAGGTGGAGGAGTCGGAAGTGATGTAGTGGATGGGGATGAGACGATATTTGGTAATGATGGGTTGAGAGGTGATGTTGTGGATGGGGCTGATGTTATGGTTGGTGAGGTGGGATTGTGGGAGGGTGACGAAGGCGAATTCAAAGAAGATGGTGATGGTTGGTAAATGTTTGTTTGAACTGGTGTAGTTAGGGGTGAAGTGCGATTTTGATGGTTAGAGGAGGGAGCACTATAGGAATAGGATGGAAGGAAGGGTGTGTCGTCATCCAAAAAATTATAACCAACCGTTGTAGGAACATTTGGATTAGAAAACGGAAGCTTAGTTTCATCAAAAATGACATGCCGAGAAATAAATATTTTACGGCTAGATAAATCATAGCATTTATATCCTCTATGATTTGAGGGATATCCTAAGAAGACACAAGGTGTAGACCGAGCTTGTAACTTATTTCTATATGATGAAGGGATGAGAGGATAGCAAAGACATCCAAAGACACGAAGGTGAGTATAGGCTGGATCTTTTTGGTAGAGTATTTTAGTGGGTGATTAAAGGGAAAACTTTTTATTTGGAAGGATATTATGTAGGTAAGTGGCCATGTGTAGTGCATGATGCCACATTGATGGAGGTAAAGAGGCATGGGCGAGAAGGGTACGGATGATGTTATTTATGGTACGAATTTTTCTTTCGGCTTTTCCATTTTGTGAGGAGGTGTGAGGACACGAAAATCTAAAAGACATTCCATTTTTTTTACAAAAATTATGAAACATAGTGTTATCATATTCTTTACCATTGTCACATTGGAAACATTTAATTTTTCTTTCAAATTGTGTTTCAATGTGAGTTCTAAATTGAAGAAAAATGGAATGAACCTGAGATTTTGTATGAATTGGAAAAGTCCATAAAAAATTTGTGTAATCGTCAAGAAATAACACATAGTAACGATGACCTTCTGAACTAAGAATTGGTGAAGTCCAGAGGTCGCTGTGCACAATATCAAAAGGCATAAAAGTACGAGACACAGAGCTATAAAAGGGAAATTTTATTTGTTTTCCAAGAGGGCATGAATTACAAAAGTAATTGTTCCGAGACTTATTACATTGGAGAAAGTTGTCTCTGTGTAGAGAACTTAAGATAGTAGCTCCTGGATGTCCTAAACGGTTGTGCCATAATTCTGTGGATATTGCGGCAAAGGTGGATGGTGGTAAGGTTTTATTAGGTGGTCTTGTGGCAATGGGATAAAGGTCACCAGAACTGTTACATCTCATTAACAGTATTCCTGTCTGAAAATCCTTCACAGAAAAACCAAAAGGATCAAATTCAACCGACACATCATTATCTATGGTAAATTTACAAACAGAGATAAGATTTTTTATGAGTTTTAGTGCATGTAAAACATTAGGTAATTTTAGTAAATGAAGGGAATTTGGTAATGATGCATGTCCACAACCAATTACAAGAATATTTTGACCACTACCGACAGTAATATTATTACTCATATTGAAATAGGACGAGAGATTACCTCCGTTGGCCGTCATATGCGAGGTTGCTCCGGTGTCCATGTACCACTGATCATCAGGAGTAGAAAGTGAGAGAGTATGCATGGCAGCTTGAATATCTGTTGGAGCATATGAGGAGGTTGGCACTGTGTTGGCGACATAAGCTTGATTTGGAGCATATGAGGAGGTTGGCGCTGTGTTGGCGACATAAGCTTGATGAGATGGCTTGGGACCAAGGATGTCGGGTTGTTCCTTTGGATTTCTTGCTGTTGGATACAGACAAGGTGGTGTAGCCCATGGTTGCCATGGCGGGGAGCTCCATTGTTGATATTAATTTGGGTATGGCAGATAAGCCCACTGCTGATGCGGGTAATATGGTGAAGTCCATTGCTGTTGCGGAGCACGACCTCCGCCACGTCCATTGTTTCGCCCTCGGCCTCGTCCACGTTGTCCTCTGCCATTGTTTCGGCCACCACGGTGGTGGTTACTGTTGTTACCGCGGTTAGGACGGGATGCCGATGAATTAATTGATGCGTCATTGTGAGATGCCATGAAAGATGAATTTTCGACTGAGCTTGACACTTTTTTCTGCAGTGCTGTTTCTTCCAAAATGATCATGGAACGAGCTTTATAGAACTGAGGAAGTGAATCAGCATGACGAATTTGAGATCCCACAGTAGCATATGCATCGGTTAGTCCCGAAATGAGTTGAAGAACTAAACGTTCATTCGATACAGGGGCACCAACATTAGCGAGTTGATCAGAGAGAGATTTGAGATGCTGACAGTAGGAGGAAGCATCAGAGAATTGCTCCATATGAGTTTGCGAAAATTCTTGCTCTAGGTAGAGAGCCCTAGAATTCTTGTTATCATAAAAGATGTCGAATAAGCGATTCCACGCGATTTCAGCGGTGGAATTATGTTCGATGATAGTGTTGAGAAGATCATCGGAGATTGTTCCATATATCCACTGCAAAACGACGGCGTCGAGACGAAGCCATAACTGTGGATCGGTAGTTTTGAGAGAGGGGTCTGCGGCTGGTTCAGAGGGATTGATATGGTCAATTACTTGAAAAACTCGAGCATGAATTTTGAAAAGTTCTGACCACATGTTATACGTGCCCTTTTCAATGCTCAGAGTAATCTTGATGAAATTAGTAATATTTGGGACAGTGAGAGCAGGGTGAATCGGT